CTTTACCTACAGAGCCATGCTCAAACATTATGCTTGCCTCAGACAAAGAGGTTCTCTACAGTCAGAGAAAATGCATTTCTACTGTGCCAACCAATGTACAGTGGATATGCAGAATAACCTTATGTAAGCTTTAAGAGGTAAGAACCACCTTCCAGTGTAGCGAGTAAGTCAACAAGTAGTCACATGAAGATGTTTAATGGAGATGAAATGCAAGCTCAGACTGAAAACTAGTTTGAGTAGGGAAAACATGAGTATACAGTTACTTAAGAGAATAAAGCCAGCAGTCATATTATATCAGACTTGTAAGGCCATGCATACATGGATGCATAGCAGAGTCCTGCTACAAGGTCTCTGTCTTCCCGCACTAGTAAAACCCCAAATAAAGATACCACCCACCCCACCCCCAAAAGAAACAAGAACATTTATGAAAGCTTCTAAACTTTAATTGCATGTGTACTGAAACTCATGCTTAGAGCACAGTTTGATGCTTAAAGCAGACAGTGCCACAGAATGTGGCTTGACACCAACTGCACCACTCCCATCCCAGAAGACTATTCTGTTCACCAAATTAAAGGTAATGAGTGAGGTCTTCTACAGTTTGAAATGTGAGGGAAGAAGTACCCATCTCACCTGCTTACAGTTTTACTAATCCACTTTTATTATCAGCCAGAACACGCAAGACCTGGGCTCCATTGCATTGCTGGCACTGTTGATTAAGTTGTCACTTACACACCTGGGCAATAATGCTTCAAGATGCAAGTGACCAGCTGTCCAGTACATTCAGACAGCTGAATAGCTTTGTGTTAACTTATTTTAAAGTGTTGTCTCTGCATAGACTAAACAGCTAGCACAAACTAAGTTCATCCAGAGAAGCTCCCTTTATGAAAAGTGCACTGCTCAATCCTGATTACACTCTAAATTCACTTTAGTTTTTTCAACACTAAATAACCTGGTTTGGATGTAGCAAGCAAGGCCAGTTGCACTCCTACTTCATGAAGGTGGGGCTCCCTGGAAGGTGACAAACATGATACGTAAAACATTTCTGCACAAATACTTAAGTCTGAAGAGCTGCAGCCTGTCAGAACCCCAGAGAGGTAACATAGGCCATCGTGCACCGATTTTACTTACATGCACTTTTAAAATGAAGCAGGATCTTCTGTTAGGAGATAGCAGAGCTCATCCCTACAAACCTGAGTGTCTAAGACTGAATAACTACACGACAATTTCAAATAAGTGGACCATTAAGCAAGTGTCCTTGTTTAAAGGGCCTAATGATCAGCTAGACATTGGTACACAATTTACACAGCTTACTAGCTTTTCACGAGGAAAATACTTTCCCCCTCCACCCTCAATTCCGCAAGGAAATACAGCAACAGGCTCCTTCAAGGCAAAGTAGTTAGCTTAGTCCCATATTCATTCTGCCTTTTTACATACTGTAAAAAAAAATTACTCAGCACATGATCCATTTCAATCAAGTCTGGGAGACAAACTGCTTGTCAGGATCTTTTAATATAAATATTAAAATCTAAGAACACTGAGCCCTCATTCTCAGACCTGCTTGCCACCATCAGGTGCCAAGCCTAAGCTTCTAGGGTCTGCAAAAAGCACAGAACACCTGGCTCTCCACTAAGATCTTGGGCATGAGACTGGGGGGGGGGGGAAGCGGAGAGGAGAAGTCTTCCATACTTGAGACTGATTCCAAACTCTGTCCTGCAGCCTTGCCAAGTATCCCAAGAACAGATTTCTTTTGGTCAATTAAGCTTCATTAGAGGCAAGGTTAAAAATAAAGAAAAACTAAGAAGAGGAAGCTTAGATCAGCCCTAACATAAGGCAGTGCTTGCTTATCTCCAAATTATCTCTGAAAGGAAACTGATTATTTTTTCCTTTATTTGAACAGATAAGAGTTTAACCAGAAAAAAGTAAGCAGCTCTTAAATCTTCACAAGCTATACTCGTTACAGTACACTTACCTACACTCCTATTTTAGTCACATGCAGGAACACAGGGGAATTACAGAAAAAACCCAACCATGCCAAATAAAGTCAGATTACATCAGCATGGCCAACAAGTAATTTTAAGAACCAAGCTCCAAGTTCTAGGGGGTTTCGCTCATTTCCTCAATTTTATAGGGACAGTGGTTTTCAACACACAATTAGCAGAGTACTAGGAACACAAAACCACCTGCATGTGGTCAAAAAAAACCCCCTGCTATTAACCTTGTTCCTTTTCTCATATAAACTCATGGATGGTAAATGCCACCTTGTTTCCTTAGGAGCACACTACACCAGACTCATTAGCCTGCACTGTATCCCTGCAACGGCATGGTAAAAATTAGTCCAGCACGTCCATGTAAAATGATGGCGTTCACAGCAATTAAGCTGTAAAATAAAAAGAAAAAAAAAAGGGGGGGGGGGGAAGAATGGGTTCTCCCTGCCCCTATCAAAGATTAAGATAACCACGAACACGTAACACTTCTCCAGCTCCGCAGACAGCTGCATCTTCGTTTTGATCTTCACTCTTGCACAAACCCCGAGACAGCAGCAGCAGGTCTCCCCACCGCCACCGCCTGGGACACCCCCCAAAAAGGGTCCTGCAGGCCTCTCCTCACAACAAGCCCCCTCCCCTCCATCCTGCTAGACGTCGACCCGGCCAAAAAACACCCTCTCCCCGCTACAAGCCGGGTTCCACCACCCCTCCGGCTGCCTAATGGCGGCCACGGCCCACAGTCCCGCGTCGTGACCACACACACACACCACCACCACCACCACCCCCCCGCCGCCGCCACCTCCCCGCGCCGCACTCACCTGAGGCACCGCCATGGCGCAGGACCCCCAGGAGCACCAAGAGCACCACGGCGCAGGGAAAGAGGCGCATGGCGCTGTGGAGGGAAGGGGGAGATGAAGCTGAGAGCAGACCAGGGCGGTTAGGAGGAGCGTGGGCCGGGCGGGTCCTGTGAGCCTCACAGGACCCGCCCGGCCCGAGACCGCCCCCACCACCCCTCACCCACCTGCGCGAGGAGCCTGAGGTAACGGCCCCAACCGCCGCCCCCAACAGCTTTTATCCTCCTAAAGCCGCCTCTGCCGGCCGTGTGGCTGTTACTGGGGCGGGTGAGAGGCTTGGGAAGGTCTCCAGGTCGAGGTGGGGAGGGTTGGGGGTTTTTTTAATATATATTTTTTGTTTGGTTTGGTTTGGTTTTTAGTTTTTAAGGCGGCTGCCGTTTGTTTTCACCTTATAAACAGCGGTAAGAAAGGCTGCTGGGCCTCAGAGGCGCCTCTGGCTGCAAAGGTGATTCATGGGCGCGTGACGGGAGAAAACAGAAAGCAAAACAAAAGTCTCTTTTTTGGGGTGTGTGTTTTCAATTTGTTATTTGGGCCTCGTTTATGAATTCACGTCATAACCTAGGCTCTAAAATACCTTGTAGGATCACCCCTATTGCATTTACTTTTTCCCCAGCTTGCTTTGATCTGGTTTCTAGTTAAAATGCAAAAGGAAGCTGTCAGTCTGGTGTAAGAAGAACACGGAGATGAGTGCTGGTCCGTATTTATAGATATTTCAGATAAATGGGTGTACTTTCTTCTCCTTGCCTTTGCCTACTGTGCATAGGAAGGCAGCCTTTCTCAGTCAGGTTATCTAGTTTGCTGAGGTTATTTCTGTTCTACTCAATGAAGTTCCTGTAAGTCAAAATCCATGAGATGTTAAAAGTCTGTTAAGTTTAGTGTTTGCCACTGCTGTAGTTGACCTCTCTGAGTGAGACCTCAGTCACTCTTCATTCACAGCTCAGCATTCAAACTGCTCACCTGTGGCTTTCAGCCATAAGCAAACAGTGCCTGCGAGAGGCTTGTCTTGTGCCATGAGCCCCACTTATTCGAGGCTCAGTCCAGCATCCATCCCGCTCGTGGAAATCCAAGAAAGAACCTGTTGACTTCAATAAAAGTTGTAAACCCCTTAAAAACGCGCAGTAGGTTTTGGTCTACGGCGCAGTAGTTTGTGACTTGGCTTTTTAACAGAGGAGCACGAAGGAACCCTGCATCCCAGTTTACATGCACAGGCCAACAAAATCCTAACCCCGGCCATGCCGTTGGGAAAACACCTTTGTCGGATTAGTTTGTTCCATGGCAAAGAGGGGAGCTGTAGGTGACAAAAGTCTCATGGGACATGCGTTGCTGCTGGGTGGCTGCACCCACAGCGTTGCTGGCAAGTTAGCCAGAATAAACTCCTGGAGGTCTCCAGCCCAGCTGGCCCTCGAACCCAGACTATGGCCGATGCTAGAGCAGGTCAGCCACGGTTTTGCCTTGCCTCACCTGAAGACCCGCGAGGGCAGCGAGCGCACAGCCTCCCTGGGTGTCCCGTCCCACCTGCCTCGTGCTGCTGGTGTTTCCTAATGCTCAGCCTGGCCCTCCCAAGGCCACCTGCCAGCTGTGAAACCCACCGGTGATCGCGGGAGGTCCCTGGCTGGGGGAAGGCTGACATTGTACCCAGCTTTCAGAGGTAAGAAAGAAGGGGTTTAAGTGCTGAATGACGGTCAGCTAGACACCGGACACCTACTGGTGGGCACAAGTCGGTATTTATTGACCAGCCCAGGGGCACAGAGGACTCTTGCTGGCTCTAGGCCGGATCGTTGAGGACGCTACGCTCCTGGCCCTTCACCGCTCCCCATCCGCTAGACATGATGCCGGCTCAACTCGGGGCAGGAGCAGAGCGCGGAGCGGAGCCGGCGGCAAAGCGACTGTCGTAGGGCAACAGCTGTGCCCTCCGTGGCACGCCGGCCTTCTACCGCCGGTCACGCAGGAATTAGGGTAACACGGAAATTAGGTTGCTGCCGCCGCCGCCCGCTGCCGCCGCCGCCCGCTGCCCCTCCGCCAGAGCCGAGGCGGCACCGGGCCTCCTCCTGGCCTGCAGGGGACGCGCCAGGCCCGTCCCGACCCACCGGAAGGAGCCCTGCGCCCCGCCCCGTCCCTCCTCCGCCCACCCAAAGCCCAGGCGCCCTATTGGCCGCGCTGGTCGCTGCGCGCTCGGGCGCCGGCGCCATGGCGGATCGGCTAACGCAGCTGCAGGACGCGGTGAACTCGGTGAGGCGGGCGCTGCCCTCTTCTCTCCCCCGACGCCCGTCGTTCTTCTTGCCGGCGGGGAGGGGAGGCTGGTGCTGGGCCACGGCCCCTCCTGCCCCCGCGGCCTCCGCCGCCGCGCCCGGGCCCGGCCGCCGCCTGTGCGAGGGGGTGCGACCCCTCTCCCCGCCGTCCCCTGCTCGCAGCCCCGAGGGCTGGCAGCCCCCGGGGAGGGGGGTATCGCTAGGGGGTGAGCGCCCACCTAGCGCGGGTGGGCCGCTGCGTGGGGTCCGCTGGGATGCAAAATAAAATCGAAATGGCCTTCGTAGCAAAATAAATTAACGACCTCTTTGCCGCTTGCAGCTCGCAGACCAGTTCTGTAACGCCATCGGAGTATTGCAGCAGTGTGGCCCCCCAGCCTCTTTCAGCAACATTCAGACAGCAATAAACAAAGATCAGCCTGCTAACCCGACAGAAGGCAAGTCTCTCTTTCTGCGTCTCCTAACAAAATGTCAGCGTGTTCTGGTATTGTATGCTCTGTAGTACAAAATCTGTACTCTATTTCAGAGTTCAGCAAACAATTTCACCAGTAACTGCTGGAGCAACTGAAGTTAGGTCATAAATTGATGCTATCTGCACTTGCTGCATGAGACTGTGATAGCGGAAAAGTAATTTTAAGTGTTAAGTAAGCATTGTGATATACTTCTTGTGCTGGTTGCTTTGCACAGAGATGGTAGCTCTACAGATACAAAGCGTTTTAATAGGACTGGTGCAAGAGGTTGTTAATGAGTTGTCTGTTACTTCCAAGAAGTCTTTTTAGAAAGAATTAGTGTTAGTTTTATGAGTTTAAAATTCTCCACGCCATAAACTTTTGATTATTTGCGTTTCTCTGTGTATCATCTGCTTATATAATTAATCAAGGAATAACATCACGTTGAATCTCCCTGTTGGCATTTGTGGTTTTGATGTTGGCTGCTTTGTTTTGGGGGGTTTGGGTGGGTTTTTTTTGAGAAGAGAAACTGATCTAAGACACTGAAATTGGCAAGTGAACTAAAAGTTCTCTCTGATTTGAGTACTTCAGGTTAGTATTTAAATAACCATGTTATTCTAATCCTGAATTTTTTAGTTCTTTTCTCACCCCACCCCTCCTGAGAAAATTTTATATATATCTTCTATCAGATTAGGTTTGTCTATTAGGATATCAGGGGAGACTGGTTTGGAGTACAGTGATGCACTTTCTAGGACAGTTGAATATTAGTTCTTTATTGGTCTGTGGTGGTTTGCATTCTGATACTGGAATTAGTTGGAAGAGCCAGCTGAAAGGCTTGTTTCCTTCCTCATCTTAACTGCTGCTGTCCCAGGTGCCGGCATCAGTGTGGTGCCAGGATCCTAGACGCTTTGTTAAGGTCCTAAAATGGTAGGTCATGACTGACTTCTCTTTTGATTTGTTTTTTTCCTAAAATTCTGAATATAGTGACTTCAGTAAAATCATATAGCCACATTAGCGATGCTGATAAGGGAAAACAAAACTACCAATTATGTGTCTTTAAAGTCTTAATAAGAAGGCCTTAAAACTCTTTACAGGTAAACTCTGTGGTGACCCCAAATAAGCTTTAAATGGATATATTGGTTTTGTTTGGTGGGGTTTTTTCTAAGTTAAAGTCAAGTGTACCTTTGATAATGTCAATCTCTTCTATAGATTTTTGGCATTAGAAAGTATTTTTTCTCCTGCATCTGCAAATCATTCATGAACCATGCAATATAAACAAATGCATAAGATCTTAAATTATAAATTGAAATGGGCTGTTACAATATTTTAGCGATAGTAAGGAACTTAATTCAGATCGAATGGATGCAATTCCATATGGAAAGGTTTTGTTTCTGGCTTATGATGCCTTTTACTAAAAGTTCTTCCAATGATACAGCAGCTGAATTAAGGTCTGTTATAACCTTCCAATCCTTTTCCATTTCTCAGGGGCAATTTAACTTTTTCTGTGGCTGAATAGGAATTCTTTTTTTTTTTAAATTAACCCTAAAATTCTTTCACTAATGATCTGTTGCTTAGATGGATTATTTCAACCATGTTATTTGAATCACTATTTTTATGTCGTTTCTAGTGTTCTTTTTTTGTCTAGTGGCAGATTTCGAGGCAAGGATTGAAAAGTTAAATGAGTTTCTAGCTACTTCTCAATACTTAATGTAGTGACTAGGACACTTAATACTGGTATTAGTAATTTCTTAATTGTCTAACTGTGATGGGAGTTCTAGCTATTTTCTCATTCGTACGAAGCCCAGCCCTTTGTATAACCAGTTACCTTGTTTAATCTAGGATTGGAATCAAACTACCTTCATCTAACACGGTTGAGTTCCCATCAGTTGTTTTCTTCATGGAGGAGAATTTTTAACACCTGCAGACTTCAAGTCTGTAGGATTTTCTATGCTGTGTATATGGAATTGTACTTATTTCTAATAATGTACTGAGTAGGCTGGCTTTTCTTTTTTAAAGAGTACGCCCAACTGTTCGCAGCATTGATTGCACGAACTGCAAAAGATATTGATGTTCTAATAGATTCCCTGCCTAGTGAAGAATCGACAGCAGCTTTGCAGGTAAGAGTGTTCTTGATTAAAATATTAAAACATAACTGAAGGCAAGCTTCTTCCTTTTTTAAAATGCATTTTTTACTCACTAGGTGGTGTTGAAAAATGATTTTAATACAAGCCTGAATTTTTCATGAGGGTAGCTTGTGAGTACTTTATGGGCTTAGTGGAAAACTGAACTTGCATCTAGTTCTAAATAAGATTATACACAGTGAGAATATTTTAAATTTAGTTTTCTGTTAGAATGTTTAAAAAAAAAGTGCTTTTATCATAACACCTCAATCCCGGAAACTGCTACCCCTTTTTTTTTCCCCAGCTGTTCAAATATTAATACAACAGATGCAACAGTACTGATGTGCTGGGGGGGTGTTGTTTTTTTTCCCCTTGGATAATCTTTCACATTCTTTCACTCATTAGGAGCACGTTTCATTTTGTAGCTGCAGGGCCAACACTTTATTGAAGCCTTGTGTTCTTCCACAGTGTTTCTGGTTGTTACAGGGTTTGCAGGGTATCCTTTAAGTTCTCCAGCTCTGTCATAAAACAGTTCTTTCACTTTTCAGTAACAGTGTGTCCTTTGGGCCAGCCAAACTTGGTGCTTTTGTTTCTTGCTCCTTTGCTTTTTAGACTTTAGACCAGAGTTACTCTAGGAGGAGCTTGGGAATGGAAAGCAGGCACTGGCCAGGCAGCTATTAGCAGGTGCAGCCACTATCACAGCCTCCATTCCCTGCCTCACAGGAGCTGAACTGCTGTGAACAGCTTGTGAGTTCTCTCACAATACTTGGCTGTTTCTCACTTCCAAAAAATGCCTTGCACCCATGATTCAAAGAATGCCACTGTACTGGGGGTTGGGTTGGGGTTTTTTTGCTGTTATTTCTACAGATCTTGCCTATTAAACAGCAGCATTTTTTGTTGTTGTTGTTTTGACTCTTAACTGCTAGATTTACATCAAGTGTTTTCTTTTTAGAATGCAACAAGGATCAAAAGAGTGCTGTTTCTTTGAGAACCCTGGAACTGCTTTAAGATCACCTGAAGGTTTTACACCTGGGTTGATAATCTGTAACTATTCAAAGGCATCTTACAAAAGACTAATAGTAGAGGTGCCTGCTGGGCCAAATACAAATGACTTAACAGTGACATCACATTTGGTTTTAAACAGAGGGGGTTAAATTTGGAAACGTTGCTAGTCACAGTAATTGCTGAACATACTAATTGGGCCCATTAACACCAGCGTAATTTCATGTAATTGTGTATTTAATAGCTGAAGACAGCTTTCCTGCTGCAGACAAATTACAGGCTTCTTCCATGATTGAGCAGGGTCTGATGCAGGGAACGTAGGGTGCTCCAGAAAGAAGTTGGTTAGCCAGTAGGGGCATGCTTTCCTTAGAAGTGATACTCGGAACAGTTTCTTGCTCTGTTAATGCAGAATCTCATTTCACAAGAATTTCTGGTCTTTTTTGTTTGGTGTGGTTTTGAGGCAAGTTAGCTTAGTGAGTCTAGTTTTGATTTTTATTTTCTGTTGTTTAATTGATGCAGCATCAAAGATAAATACTCTGCCATTCTTTAAAAAAAACTGTTTTGAAGGTGCTTCAAACATTGAAATATGCAGTAGAGGTTATGTTGAGAAGTGATGGATAGATACTTGGCTAATAGAGATATACTTAGGCTGATTTTTTTTTAAATTTTTTTTTAATTAAGGTTGTCTTGGTATATGTTTCAAATCTGAGGCTTGTCTTAAAAGGGGCTGTTCTACACTAATGCCTAACGCAATTTACCCGTCCCTTTTGAGTTCCTTTGTGGTGAAGTTGGCAGTACGTATTCTACTCAATTCTATGGCTTACCTGCAGTCAACTATTTATCAACTGAGACTGAAGTAATTGAGCTGGATTCTAAATTTCTAACTTTTACCTTTTGCCATCTTCCATCTCTGACCCTTCCTCCAAGAACTATCAAGTCCTTAATGCATATATTGACCTTCACTAAAGACATCAGTGTTGCAGAACAGAAAGTGAATATGTGGATAGAATTTGCCAGTTAGTTTAAGCGTGACTTCTTAAGGACCTGTATAACTGCTTTAAAAAAATACCAGTTTGAAACTATTTTATCTTTTCTGTTATCCAGTTAGAACTAGTTTTAGTAGTTTTAAATTTGGTAAATATTTTAAAATATTACAATATTTTGATGTTAAAATGTTTTGTTTCACTAAATTTTGTCTAACTGAAAAGCAGGTTGGTTCTGAAACAATACTGAAGAAAAAACGTTAAATAATACAGTTTAATCTGAAATATGCTATTTAACGGAAAGGTTTAAATAAGTTATGCTTACATCTTGCTGAGCACCTTTCAGTAAGGGAGTGGGGAGGGGGATAAATACTCAATTCTCATCAAGAAAAGCTGTACTGAGCCAAGAGTTGTAATATGAAAGAAGCTAACATCTCTATTTGGGGGAGCAGTTGTGTTTACTCCATGGGGATATGCACTGTTTTAGGCTGCAACCTATAACGAGTTGCTTTGAAGTTGCTAGTGTGTAATTCAGAGGCTAAAGAGAGAATCTTTCTCTTTTCTAGGGAATGCTAACTGTTCCATTCGCATCCTTTAGTAGCAAAGTAAATTTTGTATTATATTTGAAAATCCGTACTTTTCTCCCTTTTATTTTAAAGGCTGCTAGTCTGTATCGATTAGAAGAAGAAAATCATGAAGCAGCTGCCCGTCTGGAAGAGGTAGTTTATCGTGGGGATATGCTGCTGGAAAAGATACAGAGTGCCCTGGCAGATATCGCCCAGTCGCAGCTGAAGACGAGGAGCGGTACGCATAGCCAGCTCCTTCCAGACTCATAGCACCAGGCGGCAGCGTGCCCCTGCGAAACCCAGTGGTGGCAAGTCGTGCTGGAAACACAGCTCAGTTCCCACAGGGAGCTCTTGACACCCAGCCTGGCTCTCATGGGACTCTTGTGTGCTCTGATTGTCAGTAACAACGTCTTTTATCAAAGCTCAAACTACAGGTTTTGTGCAAGAAATGCTTCTACTGTAGAATAGGTGGTTGTGTTCTAGAATTATGTGTCCTGATGTATGTTTCCTTGACTTAAAATACTAATTTCTGAGCTTTCTTTTCTGTTCATAAATATGTCTGATTTCAGTCTTATTTGTTATCTTCATTACACAGGCCTTAGTCCCTAAAGGGAATTCAGAAGGAAAATACATTAAGAGTATTTGTGTAATTTGCTCACTCTTAATTTCAAACTTTTATGTTCTTCTTGTATTTTTTGTAAGGCTCAAACACAGACACACTTGAATTTGCCGGAGTTCCATGGAGACAGTGCTAGACAGTGATGTGTATACAGTGGTGGCCATCTGTTTTAATTAACAGAAATGGTAATTAAACATTTGTGTTACTACTTGGCTGGTTTACCACCCTTTACAGAGCAAGTAAAGGGATAAGTAAACTCTTAATGTTTGCAGAGTAAGTGTTCTTGCTATTGGCATCTCATTTAAAAAAAATAAATCTGCAGGTATCTGATATTGGCATTTATTATTGTTCGTAATTCACAAATGGGTCTTCAGCTCCATTACTGCCACTGATAAGCTTACTCTTACTTGCTCATGCCACTTCTCTGCTTCTGCTGAATATTCTGCATTCTCGTGGCAGCTGATGAATGCCTCTAAAGCAGACAGTAATAAGGAAGCATTGGATGACTGGGAAGAAATTAGCAATGAGGAAACAAAGTAACTTATTACATAATGTTGCTTTTCCGTGTAAGCGGTGGCTGCCACCGTGAATGCTGTGATCGTAAGCAGCAAGAGGCCTGTCATCCCCAATGTGCTGTAGAGAGTTGTTTGTTTTTATCTTCACACATTGAATCACTGAATACATTTTTGCTTCTCATCTTAGGACTGTAGAAATACCAGCATCTCTTTATATTTGAAAAAAAAAGAACAAACACCACCAGATAATGTAGGGTTCAGTGCATGAACTTGGAGATGACCTGTTAGTCATTTTCTGGTTTTTTTGAGTTAGCAGCCTTGCGTTACTGTAGGATGCTGTTTATTGCCACATAACATCTGCTCATTTCCTCATCAAAACTACCTACTTCTCTATATGGTGGGCATGGTGGTGTTGGGTTGATGGTTGGACTCTATGATCTTAAAGGTCTTTTCCAACCTAAACGATTCTATGATTCTATATTGGATATACTGTTATTAACTTGAAAGTTACACATGTTGCTCTTGCGTATAGACAGGTAAGGGCAATTCAAATGTCTTTAGCATGCTGATTCTTAAGGAATTAGATGCAGCTGCTCACTAGACTGCACCTGTGAAAGGAAGAGTATAGCATGGCACAGGATACATCTTGTATACAGCCTGTTTTGAGGATTAAAAAATACAAAGCTGTTCCTACCTGTTACAAATACTAAAACTGAAGTATTTAATCAGACTGGTATTTAATTAAATATTTAATATTATTTTGTCAAATTTGCATATCTGTAGTCATAAATTTAATCTATTGTGAGGCTCTTGTACTATCCAGATTCTACAGAAGGAAAAACAGTTGGGGAGGTGAACAGGCTACAGCACAGTCCCAGTTCTGTAACGGGATCTTTATCAAGAATAACTGGGCTGTGGCGATTTGCTAAGCTGTCTAAATATGCCTATGTCCTGGGGAGGCTTGAGGGGCCAGATTTTCATTTGAAGTCAGTCATGGGGCCTGTTTTCGGTTTTGTTTTTTTCTAGAAAAACTGCACCCAGTGCATCTCAAGTTGGTTGGGGGGTGGGGTAGATTTTTGTTGTTGTTGTTTGTTTGCTTTTTAAACTAGTGGACTTTGAAAACTTAGAGTGAAATGTTTGGGCTTTGCTTGTGGATTTCTTTTGTTTGTTTTGTATTGAGGTGTCTTAATTTGAGATTTTTATGTTGCTGGAAAAGGGGGTAGATCTTCATAGTAGACTCCCTGGTATAGCTTAACATGTGCATCACCTCAAACTTGTTAACTTGGAAACTTTTTGCTGTGGGAGATGGTGTACATCTTCAGTAACAATACAGTTCTTTTAATTTCATATATTTCTATTTTTTGTGCTTGGAAACGGCTGTATTTCTGCAGCCTGGTACTGCCTAACTGTAGAAGCTTTTTCTTTTAGTTGCTGTTTATTTGAATATGCTAGCCCACTTTATGTTAAAATGTGTATTGGTATCACACAGTTAATTACACTTTAGAAGCAAACCTTAACCAGAGGTATAAGCTTAGTAAGTATGTTTGGTTTTTCAGGTACTTTACCTTTGTGTAGTTCAGTGAATATTGCGAGTTTAATAGAGATGCAGTTTGCAATACAGTTAAAAACAAGTAACACAGTAAAGCAAGAGAGCCGAAATTGCTCTTTTTTGCCTTGAGAAATAATGTAATGTAATGTTTTAGTGAGTGAGTAGTACTGTAAGATGCATGACCTCACTAGTTCTTGTATGTTGTGTTGCTGGACTAGCTGTTGTAAATCTTTACCTGCTCTTTTACAGTCTGCAGCTCAGCCAGTAAGGTTGTATATCTTTTGTTGGGCTCTGAGACAAAGAAGGGGGAAAAATGCCAATTTGCTACAGCTGTCTAACGGACAAAGCATTAGATTGGGGCTTGGAGATGCGGATTCCTTTCCACTTTATCATAGATGTGCTGATTTGTCCAGCCCCTGCTGTTGGGGTTTAAACATCTCTGTTTAAAAAGCAGCGTGTGATGGTAGTGATCTCCGTAGGAGGGTACTCGTGCAAGAATTGTAGGGCATGCAGGATTACTGTGTCTGTACTATTTAGCACCCCAACTTCCAGTACAAATAAAAAAAAAGAGGAGGGGAGGCAAATGCCTTTCAAAAAAGGCATTTTATTTTCCTTGAGAAGTCTTGACTGCCTCCAAACTTTTAATACTGAAGAGAGGAAGGGTGGGGGAGAAAAAAACCCTTCATAACAGCTTCTAACAAACATATCAGGTTACCTGTGAGAGAGCTGTAAAAGGAAGCTTTGGTTGAGACAAGAGAATAAATGGAGGTAAAGCATCATGGGAAGAAAACAAAAGTATTGAGCAAGATATAAAATGGTTCTGCATATTATGCTGGACAAGGAGTACTGCTCAGTGAACAAACTGTGCTTTGAAGAAAGATAGCACAGAGCATAATGGAAAATTCCATTGAAAAACAATCTCAACCACTTCAAGTGAGCAGGAGTATCTCATGCTGAGAATCCATATAGCCCACTGGCAAAGATGTTGGAATCAATTTAGTAAATATAAGTGGCTGATCAAAGCCTAGTATTCTTTACTATAAACAACCATGCTCAGAGGAAAGGAACATGTTGCAGCAGCTGTTCTCACTTTCAGATACAAGAATAGGGAGGAATTTGTACACTTGTTTTTAAAGATACTGGGAAAAGTGCATTAACAATGTTTTAGCTTCTTGTCTTTTATGAAGTTAATCCTGGCTTGCTGTTGCAGATGATCTTTGGATATCTGGGAGCTTCTGTTTTGTGTGGCATTGGGAGGGTGTCCTGGCCACCCCCACAGAATTGATATCAAAGGATTTGAGGAGTTTGCAGCATTACAGGCCAGAGACTGCCTGGCTGGGGAGCAGCTCTGCTCAAATGGACCGAGGGGTCTTGGCAGACAGCAGGCTGAACGTGAGCCAGCAGCTGGCCATGGCAATAAAAAAGGCCAACAGCATCCTGGGCTGTATTAGTGGGATCACAGCCAGCAGATCGAGGAAGGTGATTGCTTCCCTCTGCTCAGCATGTGTTAGACTGCATCTGGAACACTCTGTACAGTTTTGGGCCCCCAACATCAGAAAGATGTTGATAAACTGTTAAGTTCAGCAGAAGGCCACCACAATGGCATGGGCTGGAGCATCTCCCTCTTGAGGAGAGGCTGAAGGAGCTAGGCTGGGAGAAGAGATGGTTTTGGGGGCACCTAACAGCAGCCTGCCCATGCCTGTGGGAAGGTTACAGAGAAGATGGGGCCAGGCTCTTCACAGTGGTGCATGGCAGAAGAATGATGGATGGTGGACATAAATTGAAACAACAGAGGTTCAGACTGGTCACAAGGAAAAGCTTTTTCAACATTAGGACAATTAAGTTTTAGAACATGGTCCTCAGAGAAGCTGGAAATCCTGGAAGGTTTTTCAAGACTTGGCTGGATAAAGCTCTGAGCAACCTCAACTGACCACACAGCTGACCCATCTTTGAGCAGGAGGTTGCACTAGACACCTCTGGAGGTCCCTTCTGACCTGAATGATCCTGTGGATACTAGACACATTAACGGCTTCAGAAAGAACCAAGAAAGTATTAAGGAATGTTGTTGTCCCCTTTCTAGAAAGGCGGATTTGGAGGACAGAAAACTAAGATATCTGGTATCAGCCTCATTCTTATTGATGAGATTTTGTGATGTCGGTCTCTGCACTGGTTGGCCATTGAGGTGACCTTATGTGTGGTGTGAAATTCCATGCTGTAGTGTTCCAAGTTTCCAACAGGTGCCCTTGGAGAGTGTGATATGCAAAATCCACATCCTACACTTAGAGAAAATTGATCTGTCAGATGATGCTGACTCACTATTAGACAAAGGCAGACTCCTCTAAAGAAAGAAATTGTATTTGTGTTTTATATAGCTTGTTAGGTAGTCTTACATAAGAAATAATGAAAGCCCTATTTTCAGGCACCAAACCTGAGATTAGAGCAGAAGTTTTATTTTAGCTTTTTCTTTCAAGTCTGTGGAAGAATGTTTGAATGACTTTTATTAAGAACAAATTGTTGATTGACAGGACCTTTTTACCTCCAACCCATAGGATTATGTTCTAGCAAAAAAGGGCACTGAAAACAAAGTTTGCAAATGAGGTATTTTTTTTCATGCTTCAAATATATCAGCCACTTGTATTTTATGTGCTTGCAATGAGCAGCATCTGTAGTGGAAATGATCCTCTGGAAGTTTTTATCTCTTTTAATATAGTTAGTGTAACATGCTTTGTAGGAGTGTAGCTTCAAAATTATTACATGCTGGTTTTGTACACTTAGGTGCAGGTTTTATGTTTATTTTTCTTTCTTGGAAAGCCTTGTAGGAAATCTTGCTTGTTCGTGGTAGCTAAAAAGCAGACCAGGAATTTTATATTCTTGCTGCTGCTGTACTCAACCAGTATAGCCAAGTAGCCAAGCACATTCAACTCCTGCTCTAAGCACAAAAGATCTGTCTATTTTATAACTGTTTAGACTGTCACCATGTTTATTCTGAATTTCTGTTTATAGGTAGCACTCAGGTAGCATAGCACAACAGTACAAACAGATCTTCCCCCCGATCTATTTTAAGGTGATATTTACTTACTATAAATATTACCAGGGTCTGGGATTTAGTCTATTTAGCTTTATACACTTCACTGAAGGTCTAAATGAATTAATTTTGTGAAGTGGAAATTTGTAGCTGAGTAGGGACTGTGCAATTTGGCTGCAAAACATCCTTTCTCCACCCTGCCCCCTTAAAAAGAGAAGATTGAAACAGAAGCCCTCTTTCAGAAAACAACGTACTTCATTCTATGGCTGTGTGGGAAAGTAATTGACTACACATTGACGTTCCACAAGTGCTAGAGAAAAATCATAATTGTTTTCCCAAGTCATGATCCGGGGAGAGAAGCCATATTCCTAAAAAGGACAACACCTTTGAAGCCAAGAGCTCAAAAGAAGAGGGCTCTTGCACCAAGACCCTACTAAGATTGTGGAGGTGGGGCTTCCGCAGGTGTCTGCAGAATGGTGAATAGGAAGAAGTAACAGTCTGTTTGCTTGGTGCCTTCAGTTGGGAAAAATGGGGGAACGCAAATTTTATTTCAGTGCTGAAGACGAGGGATGTTAAAAGAAAAACGTCAGGACAGTCAGGATGCAAATACAGTTCCTTCTCTCTGCTTCCTTTCCAGAGGTATCAGAAAAAGGGTGGGTTCTGTTAACAGCCTGTCATTTTATTTTGAATGCTCAAGTCAAGAAATACTCCGCATAAGCAAGTATTAGTTTTGAAAACTGTGCAGTTTTCAGATTCTGTGGTTAGATAAACCTCTCTGCATGTCACAGTAAGCACTCTGTGTGTTTAATGAACCTGGGGCTGAAAGGGGAGCTTTAGCAAAGGAGGTTTTCACTTGGTGGTGTTTCAAAAATTGCAGTAAGCTGCTGTCAGAAAGCTTTCTCTTGTGCAGGGATGCAGTGAGGGTGCAATAATTTATCCAACTTCTGCTGTAAAAAAGCCAGCAGAATTGCCCAGCCATTGTCAAATGGCATTTGATGGACAGGAAGCAGACCCTTTATTTCAGTGGGACCATATGTGTGTGCAAAGCTAAGGAAGCATCCTAACTGTCCTAGGCACAGTAAAGCGGAGCATGTGCTTCTCTGTACATTTACTGTGTTTGTTATTTACAAAGGAAGGGGCACAGTGTAAAATGATGGAGGGGAAACACTGCAGTGAAGAAGAAAAAACATTTTAGATGACTTCAAGGGCAGTGAGTGAGTCTATAATGTCCACCTAGCATGGGACCTCCTGGTGAGGTACCTCCTCCTCTGTCATGGGACTCCCGCTATGTGGCTTTCCCTACGGCAGCACAGTGAGGGTTGGAGCTGCAGCGTGGACATGAATGTAGAAGCCGAGTCACACCTAAATTGGATTCCTAAAGGATGCACAATGTGGTCCTCCTTCCCCAAAAGTCAGAGTTTGAATGTAAAATTATGCAGCTGGTTAAAATTACACTGTTTTAATTTGTACTGTGGGAGCCAGCTATGAAAAGGTGCCTACGGTTGATCTGGGTGTTAAGTTCCAGCTTGCTTTAGGCATCCAAGAGCCCAATCTGTGCTGCTCTGGTAGTCACTGTTAGCAAAGGAGAGCTGAAGTTCCTAGGTGCTACAAAAGTCCTGAGACTTTCAGTGTGTCAGACAGACGTACAAGGAGTGCAGAGTGGGACCTGCCCTTGCTGATGCTGACCAACAACAAGGGGAGTCCCTCGTGTGACTCCAGCAAGCTGTGGAGGCAGCCCCTGGTGTGCTTACAGGGAGTGAAATCCTCTAACGAGGCAGAATTAGCAGCTCTGACTTGTTTTGGTGTGCTCAAGCATGCAAAGTGTAATTCTACTTGTTGCATTACTACTTCTCAGCCAAGAACAATTGTGTTTGTTTTGCTATCTTGCTTCCTCTCCAGGTATTTTGCAGCAGCTGCAGGTGAATGAGTATACAGCCACATTCAGCTGTGTGGTTCCTTCCACCTGGTCTGTAATTGACCAGTTAAAAGTAATTAATCCCTGCCAGGCTGTCTAACAGGAGAGGGAATTCAGGTGGTAAGGCATGCTAAAAGGCAGTGTTTTAACCTTAGGTGGAGCTGGGGAGTAAGGGATCAATTTTCTTTTCACAAAAGTTGTGTCGTGAGCTTGTACTTATGATTTAAGAAAATTGCTAGGCATCTGTAGATGCCAGTATTCTTTAACCATGTTACTTGTTATTTATTTAATATTTTTCATATATAATTGTCTGTTGTGTAACAGTGGATATTGACCTCATCTGAAGTCCTGACTTTGGGCTTTGGAGTAAACCGTAAATTGATAGGCTAAAATGTAAAAAACCCCACATTTATTCCAGGTAAACTGTATCAGGAAGAATCCTATGGAGCAGCATCAGAAATGAATCTGATCAGTTAGGGTAATTAAGTGATAGTATTTACCACAGTAAGAAAGATTATGCTCATACTCTGCACAGCTCTTTACACTTGATTGCTGCCAGAATAAAGCTGCAATAACATAACTTCTCAAATTATTAAGTTCAAGTGTAAACAGGTTGTAGTCTGCCTTGTAAAGGGAACTTGTGGTTCATTTCTGTCGATAACATCTGACACTGAGGTGTGGCAACTGAACTTCAGCAGTTAACTGTACATTTTCCAGACTTAACCTGTCTTCAGACCAAGTCGTGTTATGATTTATGGCTTTTCAAAAAGTGATGGTTTTTTTCAACCCAACTGTGAACACAGCTAGAGATGGGTGGGGTACATGAATGTTGCAGCTTGCTTTGAAAACTCCCTGGTGCTGCACTGGTATGTCTGAACCACAGGTTCCTGATCCTGAAGTTTAAGTTCAGAAAGACATCATCCCTAGTCTTAGTGACAGGGATTGTTAAAATTGTTTCTTACCTCTTGATGGCATGGAACTGGATTATTTCTTAGGATTATCCAGGCACTTGTTAGATTAAGTTTCTTACTACTATAGGGATTGGGTACCTTAACAGTGCCCTTGATCACCTGTACCTGTGGTACTCTAGTTTTGTGGCTCTTGGTCTTTGGTGCTGTGGCCTTGTGGTGTGAGATGCTGTTCTGTGGTTTCAGTGCTTGGGGTTGTGTGACTGGATGCTTCTGAACTAAATACCGTGTGGTTGTGTGCAATTAGTCTTGCTCACCTTGGCAGCTCTTTTCATTTTCATCCTAGGTTTAGTCC